ATATATATATATACATATATATATATATATATATATGTATTTACATATATGAAAGAACAATATGAGAAAATGAAAGTAGAAAGTCAATAAACAGTACAAAAAAACTAGTATAAAAAATTGGTTTTCAAATAGAATTTTTCTGTATATACTATACAGTAACGTCTAGATTCCGATCCTTAATTTCCAGCTATTGATATTCTGCTTACCCTGAAACCAACGGTTCACTTAACGTTCATCTGTTGTCTAATCAACAGCATTTCAATGCTTAATTGTCTATTAGAATAATACAGTTTCCGAAACAAAGTTTTCTGTTGTCATACCAGTGTGGTAACTGATCGCTTCTATAAAATATTTGTATCGTGTAAACGAGATACACAAGACTTGAAAAAAGTAGCGCTAAACATTTCATATAATCTTTTACAGCAAAAATTCTAAATTCTTTTTTTCTCTTTTCTATAAACTTCAATAAAAAACCTTCATTAGAAAAGAAATAGAAATGCAAATTAAAAAAAAAGAATTCTTGTGATGTCAAGTTTACAGTTCAGCTGAACAGCAAAATCGACAGCAATACCAACAGCAAATACATTGACTCATCTCAATGTACGTTAAAACATTGTATGTTAAGAGAAAAAGTGTACAAAGTCAATTTGTAATATCACGAAACACTGCCATTTTTTTACAAAACAAAAATTTTTTGCATTTCAAAATTAATCTTTCAAGCAGCTACGCCCAAGTTTTTTCTAACAGTTCAAATTTCCATCCTATTATATTTGAGTGCTACCGAGTACAATATTTTCCACTGCCCCGTATTTTAAAACTTATTAATCTAAGTGAATCCGCAATATGCAACGTCCATGGCTTACGTAAAATTATCAAAACACCCTTCTGATACTATTGTGAGCTAAATAAAACCACTTGGTGTGTGATAAAGCTTAAATTATTCAACAGACTTTTGTAGAGTCCGGATACAGACACTGAACAAAGCAGACAACAATTCTCGACACTTTCGATAAGCATCTGTATAAGCTACAGAAATAAAGAAGTCTTCCTCTAATCTGCTGTTCTTTGCTCTGCTTAAAAGTAAAATAAAAGATTATTTTTTTACTTTCCACATACACCCTCTTCCGAATTGGAAAACCAGACCCTGTAAGCTCCATTATTGAGGTAATTTTTGATGAGAATTTCTAGTAAGACAGATTCTACCACCCCACTCAACTCTCCTGAGCATTTGCTTATTTTACCATCCATTTTGCAACAGCTACGTGACTAAGAAAAATTCTTTATTTCAGGACCACTTTTTCCCCCAAAATCGCAAAAAAATTCGTCCGTGACTCCCATGCCCAACCGAATACAACAATTATTTTGACTTTATGCCGCCAGAATAAAGCCGCCATATCACAGAACGTTGAAAAAGGATCGTGAAACAATGTCGCCGAAACAACGAGTGACAATTGTGGTAATTCCCTGTTTCCCCGTGGGAGAGAAAATTTTGAATTTGTTCCTCAAGCCAAAAGATAATATCCCTTAGTTTAAACTAATATTCATCTTTCTCCGAACAATCAATCTGCACTACAAAGAAGATTACTAGCCACCCACATTTTCAACATTCAGAATCAGTTTAATGAAGATGTCAAAAAGACATAAACCAAAAATTTGAACTGAAAAACCAATGCACTACAAAAAAGCAGTGATGATAAAAAAAATAATTGCTTAATTATTTCAACAGTAAATAAC